TTCCCTGCAGCTCCGAGCCTGTTGCTCTGGACAGCCGGGATAAATGGTGCCATTGTTTGGGAGCAGCGGATGTTTTCCCAGCATACTCAGGAACGCACGGGTTAAAGGTTGGGCATTGTTTCCCTGCTGGAAGAGCTCCGGGGGGTGGGATGATGATGGTGATGATGATGATGGTGATGATGATGATGGTGATGGTGATGCCGAGCTGCGGCACGGGCCTGGCTAAAATCCCTGGGTGTTGCTGCGCCACGCTGCCGCCTTTCCCTGCTTCCATCCCCTGCTCCTTTACGGATTGATTCCTCTCCTCCAAACCCATAAATATTAGAGGGAAACCAGCCAGAAACCACCCAGATCCTAGGGAAAAAAAATCCAGGGAAGCATCTTTTCAATTTAAGTGTGTTTCCAAACCTTCCTAGGGTGCTGCAGAGATTAAGAGCAAGCCCAGCCCCTCCCAACCCCATTAACCCACAGGCCGAGCTTTAATCCTTTTTGTGGACGCCAATCCCGGGCTTTGGGATCACGCTGGAAGCCAGCAGTGATGGGATTTTGGTGGCTGCCCGGAGGAGGGGGTGGCAGTGTTTGCTCTGCTCCTTCCCCACACCCCTTTTTTTGGAGCTGTTAAAGAAACTAAAAATAAATCAAAGAGAGGAACAAGTCAGCACTTGGGAAAACTTAAAAATGGGTTTGTTTTGGAGAATTCCAGCTGAAAAACTCTTGACGTGCCCAGGTCCATGGCAGGGAGGGAGCTGGGATGGGGCAGGTGCTGAGGAAAAGGATATTCCTGAAATCCCTGATTCCCCCAGGGGTGAGCTGTCACTGCTGGGCTGGGAAGTGCAGGTGGCCCTGGGCTCTCCTGGGGTTTGGATGTGGCTGTCAGGTGAATTTCTGGAATTTAGGGTGGCTCTTCCATGGTCTGGGAGTCCCAGCATCTGCCACCTTTTCCATGGATGCATCCTGGAACCAGGCTGGAGGCTGCCACTCTCCGTGCCGTGGGTTTCTCTCTTAATTATGCTTCTTATTTATTCCAGTTTATTTCCCTACAGCAAACACTTTATTTAGGGCTCCATAGTTCCTTCCTCAATCTGACCAGGAAAAGCTTGGCTGAGTGATGTTTTGTGAGCTCCTGAGTCCACATGGAATAAAAATCCAGCATGCAAATCCAGGCTTCAGCCCAGAAATAAAGGTTTTATTCTGCTGCGTGGTTCAGCTGGGCTTTACTGGCCCTCAGCCTCAGCCAGACCTTCAGTTTGCTTTGTAAATCTGTATTTTCAGCAGGGCCTGACAGCTCCACGGAGCAGTGCTGGGCTCCTCGGCCTCCTCCTGCTTTAATCCATTTTTATACCATCGCTGTACAAGTGGGTGATGTGTCTACATCACGGATTTTTGAATTTCTGATTAAAAGCAGAGAATTCAGGGGCACCCGGTGCCCGTGGCTGAGGCAGGAGCCTCCCAGTTGCCCCTGGGAACAGGATTTGGCTCCGTGTTTTGGCACCAGGCAGGGCTGAGCTATCTGCTGGCACCAGAGCTCTGGAGATGGTTCCAGGCTCCACACGTGCGAGGAAAATTAAAGAGAGATCTGAGGAGAAAAGAGATTTTATTGGCTTCGAGATCACCTCTGAGGTGGTGCAGTGGTGGAGCCTGGTGGGTTTTTCAGGGATGTGGGATGTGTCCAGGCATTGGGATTGACTTTATTTGGCTGTGTTTGGGAGGGGTCTGTTGGCAAACCCTGTGCCAGGGAGGTGCTGCTGCTCCTGTGCACTGGGAACGTGCTGGCGCCACTTTGGATCAGGCTGGAAGTGCCAGGGATGAACCAGGCAGGGCTGGATGCCCCCCACGCCTCCCAGCATCCCAGAGAACCCCAGAATTATTCCATAAAATTCACAAAATAATTGGAGACTTCATGAGATTCCTTCAGTTTGATCTCAGGAGGAGTTTGGAGCTGGCATAATCTTTTTCCTTAAAGTGAGTGCAAATTCTGGTGTCAAAATAAAACTCCAAGGGACAGGCCTTGGGGAAAACCTCAGATTCCATGAAAATCCAGTGAGGAGAAGCTGGAGAGCTGCTGGCCTGGCCCCTTCCCATGGGGAATGCTCCATCCTGGCACAGCTGGGGAGGCTCCGTGGCACTGCCCCGCGTCCCACAGAGGTGACAATAAAACAGAGCCTTTGTCAGGGAGCCCTGGGGCCTCCTTCAGACAGGAATCCCAAAAAAAGGCTCTGCCAAGTGCTGGAAAAGCACGAGGAGTGTGCTGAAGCTCAGGGAAGCATCACCAGAGGGAGGCCTTGGGGTCAGCTCATCCCTAAATTTTATAAACTTGCAAGAGCCTTGTGCTGGGAAGGGACTGGTGGGAGAGCTTTATTCCAATAAACCTCACAATAAAATAGAGGGTTTGTGGCATGGAATCACAGAGTGACAGAATAATTTGGATTGGAAGGGGCCTTAAAACCCCTCCCATGGGCAGGGACACCTCCCACTATCCCAGGCTGCTCCAAGCTGGCCTTGGGCACTGCCAGGGATCCAGGGGCAGCCACAGCTGCTCTGGAAATCCATTCCAGGGCTTCCCCACCCTCCCTGGGAGGAATTCTTTCCCAATATCCCATCCATCCCTGCCCTCTTCCAGTTTCAAACCATTTCCCCTGGTTCTGTCACCCCATCCACTTGTGAAGAATCTCTCCCTGATAGTTCTGACAAATTGACATTCCAAGACCCTGGAATTTACCTCAATCCCTGAGTGCTCCATGCCCATGATTTTGGCAGCTTGGAGAGCTTTCCTTGAACTCTGTTGGGAATTCAGGGCTTCCTCTCCTCCCCTGGGATCCAGGGTGTCTGGGAGCTGATCCCAGCAGGAAGGGGGAATTCCTCCCCCTCTGGAGCACACCCCAGCCCTGAGGGGGATTTCACTGGCTCCAGCAATGCTTTTATGCTCAGGAAAGGGGAATTCTGCTGCCTTCTTGTCCTGGAGCCACGGAGGCGTGTTCCAAGCACCCCACACTCGCTGTGCCCCATCTCCTGCCTCACTCAGGGGTGATTTCCACCCTTCCATGCCCATCCTGGTGTTCCTGGCAGTGCTGGCTCTGCGTGCTCCCATTCCAAGGACCCCCCAGAGCCTGACCTGCTCCAGAGTTTGCTGCTCTGAGCTTTCCCTTACTGCTGGAAAAAGGAAATCAGGTTCTTCCCCCTCCAGAGGGAGAGGGATCTGCATTCCTGGGCCACATGGAGCCCTTTTTTGGGATGTTCCAAGCAGAGGGACAATGGTGGCCATGGGTTCAGCCCATGGGGAAGGGGCTGAACACCAGAGGATTTTTTCCCAGTGCTGAGAGAATCCCTGAATTCATTTCCCTTTTGATAGCCCAGAAATAAACCAGCTTTTTCCAGCAGGGAGGTGCCCATCCCAAGGTGCTGGCACTGAGGAGGGCCCCAAATGTGCCCCCTCCATGGCTCCAGGGGCTCCCAGCTTGCTGCTTAGCCAGCTTTGGGGCTTCTCCCGTGGCCTGGAACAGCTCCTGGGTGCAGGGCTTGTCCCTGGAGGCTGGGATCAGCTCTGTGGGATCAGCTCTGTGGGATCAGCTCAGGGAGGGTCCCTGTGCAGAGCCCTGGAGGGCAGGGCAGAGGTGATCTGAAAGCTGGCACAGGGGATAAAATATCCTAAAAGCTGTGGCTGACAAGGCTGGAGTATATTTAATTCTATTTCTATTTTTAGGGTTGTGTCACTTCCTCCCCTTCAGGGGTGGCTCTGGGGTCACTTTGCAGGGGTGGGCACAGCAGGAGCGGGCTGAGCCAGGAGGGGACGTGGGGACATCCCCGCTGGGTGAGGACAGGGCCCTGCAGGATTGTCACACGCCCAGGGGACTCGTGACAAATCCCAGCTCAGCCCCTGGCCACACAGCCTTCCCCTGGGGCTGAGCCGTGATTTATTTATTTGGGGTTTATTGTGTCAGGATCCCTCCTCAGCTGGGAGAGGAAGTGGATTTAGCAACAGCAGGAAAGGACACAATGAGTCAGCGGCGGAGGGAAACTGAAAATAGGGAAATATCCAGAGAACGACTTTGTTTCATCTGGGAATTACAGTTGCAAAGCACCATCCAGGGACAAGAATGGAATTAAACATTTATTATTGCTGGTTTTGCCCTGAAAAATTGGAGTAGGTTCATGCTGGGGTGCATCACTTGGGTGTTGTTAGAGCTGGGAATTTACCTGGAATTTGCATTTGGGCTGGAATGATATCAGCATGGCTTGGATATCTCATTAAACATCACAGGGCAATTAAAATTACCTATAGTTGTGCTTGGATATCTCATTAAACATCACAGGGCAATTAAAATTACCTATAGTTGTGCTGCACAAAAAATCAGGATTTTTCTTGCTGCTGCACCAGGTTTTGGGGAGCAGCTGTGGCATAATTCCATTTTCCTATGGATTCCTTTTGGGAATTCCTGCCCTGAGCATGAGCTCTGCCCTCCCTGTAGCTGATCCAGACAAACCCTTCCAGCCGGGGTGGGATCTCGGCAGGGGCAGAGGGGATTTGTGTGGCAGGGGGTCGGTGGTGCCCTTGGGAAGCCCGGATGTCCAGGCAGGAATGCCAGAGCCAGGAGCTCCAGGTTTGTGTTGTGTGAGTCCCCCCAGGAGCCAGGGATGGAATTTTGGGGTATCCCCATGCTCTCCACTGCACAGGATGGGGGACAGGGTTACGCTGGGTGCCTCTGTTGCTTAATTCCAAGAAATCTAGGAAATTTTGTGCCTGGAAAAGCCAAATTAGCCAGGGAACAGCTCCATGGGTTCCTTGCTGGTGGGTTTTGCGTGGAGGAAAAATTCCAGCTGGTGCTTCTCATCTGTGGGATGTGAATCGCTGTGATGGATCCTGGGAATTCCCTGGGATAACTTCCCAGGAAGGAAGGAGGAAGCCCCTTGCTCCGGGCCCGGCAGCACGGCCAGGCTGGGACTTTGACATCAGACACCGGGATTTTTTCCTGCCCTTGCGGAGCCGCTGGAGCTCGGGGTTATTTTTATCCGGCGCTGGCAGTGGCTGCAGAAGGACGCGGATTCCCAGCTCCTCTCCCTGGCCCTCCCTGCCTTTATTTGGGAAAACCAAGGTGCTGCGGGGCAGGAGGGAGCGGAGAGGTGCTGGAAGCGCATCCCGGCCCGGGCAGCGAGCCCTCCATCCCCGGCGGCGGCCGCGGGGCCGGGCAGCAGTGAGATGTGCCGGGAGCGGCGGAGATGAGCCGGGAGCGGGAGGATGGAATGGGTGACATCATCAGGAAAGCGGCCCCGCCGCCCGCCGAGGGCAGCTATAAAAAGGTAAAGGGACAAAAAAAGGGACAGAAAGGAGCCTTTGTGTGCGCCACCGGGCGGGAATGCTGCGGGAATGCTGCCCGGATCCCGCCCAGGCCGGTGGGATTGGGGGGCTGGAGCAGGGAGGATCCGCGGCTTGTAAAGCGCTGGTACAGGGCAAACCTTCCTCCTTCCTTCTTTCCATATCTGCTGCTGATAAAACAGCAGGGGAAGCTTCCAAAGGCATTCTCCTACCTGGAAACCCCCGGCGTTTTAAGGCGTTTTGTGACGTGGCTCAAAAAGTTTTGACTTGGGTTTGCATTTACCCCGGGAAGAAAAAAGGAGATAAAACCACATTTTCTGTGATCCTAGGTTGTTTGTAAATCCCAGAATAGCCCTTGTGCCGTGCAGAGATAAAATGAGACGCTGCCTATGGCTCTGGGACTTTAAATATAGTCCTGGTCCGGGCTGGGAATGACAGAGCCTGGCAAAAATAGCCCTGGTGGCCTGGCCGAATGTCCCAGTGCTCCTGCTGGTGTCCCAGTGCTCCTGCTGGGCATCCCAGTGCTCCTGCTGTGCATCCCAGTGCTCCTGCTGGGCATCCCAGTGCTCCTGCTGTGCATCCCAGTGCTCCTGCTGGGCATCCCAGTGCTCCTGCTGGTGTTCCAGTGCTCCTGCTGGTGTCCCAGTGCTCCTGCTGTGCATCCCAGTGCTCCTGCTGGGCATCCCAGTGCTCCTGCTGGTGTTCCAGTGCTCCTGCTGGGTGTCCCAGTGCTGCTGCTGGGCATCCCAGTGCTCCTGCTGGTGTCCCAGTGCTCCTGCTGGGCATCCCAGTGCTCCTGCTGTGCATCCCAGTGCTCCTGCTGGGTGTCCCAGGGCTCCTGCTGTGCATCCCAGTGCTCCTGCTGGGTGTCCCAGTGCTCCTGCTGTGCATCCCAGTGCTCCTGCTGGGCATCCCAGTGCTCCTGAAGTGTTTGGTGCTGGAGGATGGGTGGGAAGGGATTCCCCACTCTGCTCCCCTCTCCTGCAGGGCTGGGGATGGGCAGGGCAGGATGGGGATGGGATGCTGGCAGGGCAGGATTGGAGAGAGGCCGGAATGGAGCTGCTGCAGGGCTGGAGCCAGGCTGGGAGAGCTGGGAATGTTCACATGCCAGGGCAGGACTGGAGCTGCTGGAGAGAGGCCGGAATGGAGCTGCTGCAGGGCTGGAGCCCCTCTGGAGCCAGGTTGGGAGAGCTGGGAATGTTCACCTGGAGAGGAGAAGGCTCCAGGGAGAGCTCAGAGCCCTGCCAGGGCCTGGAGGGGCTCCAGGAGAGCTGGAGAGGGACTGGGGACAAGGATGGAGGGACAGGACACAGGGAATGGCTCCCACTGCCAGAGGGCAGGCATGGATGGGAGATTGGGAATTGGGAATTCCTGGCTGGGATGGGATTCCCAGAGCAGCTGTGGCTGCCCCTGGATCCCTGGCAGTGCCCAAGGCCAGGCTGGACCCTGGGGCTGGAGCACCTGGGACAGTGGGAGGTGTCCCTGCCATGGCCCCTGGATCCTCTGAGGTCCCTTCCATCCCAAACCAGGATTCCAGGACTGTGTGACACATGCCCTTTTCCCTGGAGCAGCCCCAGCCAAGCCTGAGCTGTGTTCCCAGTCCAGGCTCTGCTGCCCTTCCGAAGGGAAGGTCGAGGGGAAGAAGGAAAACATCCGCCCCAGATTGTTTTGTTTTCCCCTTAAAAATCAAAAGCAGCTTTTTTGTTTAAAATCATTGTGAGGATTGAATTGTGCTCAGCTCTGCACAGAGCAGAAACACTTTTATTTTTTGGGTCAGTGCCAAAATACACATTTAGGTACCATGGGGTTATGTTTTCTTTGGAGTTACCTTTGCATTTTGAGGATTTGACCCATTATTCCTTCCATACCAAGTCAGAATATTTGATTGTCAAAACCCACCTTGCTGTTTCCCTTCTCCATCTGCATTTTTTCATACCCAGCTCTGGATTTTGCGTGCAGCTGTCAGGTAATTTATCCAAAGCCTAAAGTCCAGTTCCCTCAGGTATATTTTATTTCTTACTAACTGCTCCCCATTTTATAATAACAAATAGGACTCTGGATTTCTTTATGGTCATTAGCCTGCCTTGGAAAATGGGATATTCCCAGCTCAGTCCTGGGAGCAGAGTTACTGAGAATCCTCATTAATGACCTGGTAGAGAAAACAAATTGCATGTTGATTAAATGTACAGCTGTCAGCCTGGGAGCAGTGGGAAACAGCAAAATTAAAACAGATCTGGAGAGACAGAAAGGAGGAGAAATGTCCAATCCTGCCTGGATTTTAGTGGGAAAGGAGCAGCTTTGGGTGCTCACGGAGGAGGTGGGGATGCTCTGTGGGCTGGATTTCGGCTGGAACGCAAGGAAAATCAAATTTAGATGGAAAGATGTGGGAGAGGATCCTCTGAGCTGGGAAAGGGGAAATTTCCAGGACTTGATGGAATATTGGTGCAGTGGCACAGCCAAGGGCACCCTGAGATGGGCAGCACAAGGAGCTGGCACCAACCTCCCTCCTTCTGCTTCCAGTGCATTAAAAAATTATTTTCACTCCTTTATCCTCATTTTTTTCCCCTGTTCTGCCCTCCCCAGCAGGGTTGGCTATTTTTTAATCCTAAATCTGTCTCCATGTGATTGAGGTATTGATTATTGAAACCTAAAAACACAGTGGTCTGGGTAAAACTTCAGAAACCTGGAGCTCAGCCCAAAAACTCTGTACCACTTGGTGTTGTGGGGTTTATTTTTACTGTTTTAAGGATTTGAAATAAAAGGAGTTAGGTTATAAATGAATTATTTTGGTAAGGGATTGACAATTTAATGGGCAGGGTAATTATGTGTATAATAAGCACTGTAGCTGGAATTAAATAATTCATTATTTTAGGTGAATAATTTGCATTTTGTCACACTTCCTTGTACAAAAAGTGCTTTATTTTTCCTGAGGTGGGATATGGGAAGCACAATTCCATGAATTAACCCCATGGAAGTAGCCCAGCCTTGCCTGCTCTATTTCTTTTTGTTGTGTTTTCTGGATTGGGTATTAAGTGTTATTTTATAATTAAATGTTTGAGGCTTTCCAAGTGTTCCTTCCATCAATAACTTCCTGAATTTGTTGTCAGCGTTGGCACGTGACCCATTAGTGACAGACACCGGGGGAGATTTTGAATCTGGAGCTGAGATTTGCACTTATTGCAAATGATTGCACAGTTATTGATCAGGGATTCATTGCAAATAATTTTGTTGATTGCTATTTTAAAACTCCTGTGTTTATGTTTATATTTATATTTATATTTATATTTATATTTATATTTATGGTTGTGTTTGTGGTTATATTTATATTTATATTTATATTTATATTTATATTTATATTTATATTTATATTTATATATAAAATAAATTTTTAAACCCAGGGATAATTTGATGGCAATGGTTCAAAATCCATCCCTGAGCACACTGGCAGGAGAGGGATTTTTGTGGGGTTGGAAGCTGCTCAGGGAAGAGGAAGATGCTGATGGAGATGGCTGTGTGTGGATATAGGTACAGATATTCAGGAGTGTACCAGGAAATATCTATCAGCGAGTTTGGGGTGCAGTCAGATGCCCTCTAAGGTCCTTTCCAACCCAGACCAGGCTGGTTCCATGTGGAGAGAGAGGCACTGGGGGTTCCCAGCGGGATGTGCTCTGTGGCTGACCCAAGTGTGGAATGCTTGGGAGATGCTGGACATGCTGAGCCTGGTGGTGGGGCTGGTGGGACATATCTCCTTCCTGTGCCCTGGCCTGGCCAGAGCTCATCCTTCCCTGTCCCTTCCCAGAGCTTCATCCTTCCATGTGTCCTTCCCAGACCTTCATCCCCCGTGTCCCTCCCCAGCTCCTGATCCCCGTGTCCTTCCCCAGCTCCTGATCCCGGTGTCCTTCCCCAGCTCCTGATCCCCGTGTCCCTCCCCAGAGGCTGACCCCTGTCCCTCCCCAGCTCCTGATCCCGGTGTCCCTCCCCAGAGGCTGACCCCTGTCCCTCCCCAGCTCCTGATCCCGGTGTCCCTCCCCAGCTCCTGATCCCCGTGTCCCTCCCCAGAGGCTGACCCCTGTCCCTCCCTGCAGGCCCAGAAGAATGAGCGTGAGTCCATCAGGCAGAAGTTGGCTCTGGGCAGTTTCTTCGACGATGGCCCCGGGCTCTACACCAGCTGCAGCAAGAGCGGCAAGCCCAGCCTGTCCTCCCGGTAAGCCAGAGCCCAAATCCCCAGGGCAGCCTGGGAAGGGGGAGATCTCTGCAGTGGGGCATCCCAGGACCACCCCTCACAGTGCCCTTCAACCAAATTCCTGAATTTTCCATGCTTAGAACATCCAGATGCAATATCTGTGTGTTATGTGAAATCTTGTAAATGACGGGGGAAATTCTCATTTGACACGGGGTAGAAAAGTATTTGGATGTTGAGGGGATAAAGGAAATGAGGTGAAGTTTTCTGAGTTAGGTTTCCTTTAGGTTTTCCTTTAGGATTTGGAGCAGGGTGCCCAGAGCAGCTGGGGCTGCCCCTGGATCCCTGGCAGTGCCCAAGGCCAGGTTGGACACTGGGGCTGGGAGCAGCTTGGGACAGTGGGAGGTGTGCCCATGGATGGGGTGGCACTGAGTGAGCTTTAAGGTTCCTTCCAACCCAAACCATTTGGGAATTCCAACCTCCATGATTCTGGAATTGTGATTAATGATTGGAAAAGTGACTAATGCTCAGGAAGCACAAGAAGATGGACAAAATAAGCTTTAATGTGGCTTCCTGCCTCCCCTCCACATCCACGAGCTCTGCTCCACACATGGCTCCATCCCTGGAGCTGCACATGGATTCCTCCCTTGGATTTTTAAGGCTTTTGCATCAAATACACTCCAGAAAGTCCTTTGTGTGTTCAGCTGGAGCCCACAGCTCTGGGGAAGCATCAAACACCTCCCATACTGGGAGTGAAGCTCTACCTGTTGCCATGGAATGGGAGAAGAAAGGAGGCTTAGGGAGGCAGAGACCCAGGAGGAATCCTGCTGTTCCAGGGGAGAGGTGCAGTTGTGCAATTAAATTGAGCTGTGGATCATTTGAAAGGGAAAACAGCTTTGCTGTGTGTAGTTACAGCTGAACCAGGAGCTGCTGTCTGGTAATTAGAGCAGGGCTCTAATTAATGCAGCTCATCAGGGTTTGGCAGCTGTGCCCCCAGAAATTACCAGCTGTGCCTGAAGGATTTGGTCGTTGTTAATATTCATAATCCAGGAAAAGTCTTCCCTGTTCCAGGACCTGCAGGGACATTTGCAGGACATGATTGCCATGTTTTTGTAGGGAATTGCAGAGTAGGATCATGGAATGGTGGGGTTGGAAGGGACCTTAAAGCTCATCCAATTCCCTGGCCATGGGAAGGGACAGCTCCCACTATCCCAAACCCTGTCCAACCTGGCCTGGAACAATTCCAGGGATCCAGGGGCAGCCACAGTCTCCAGCCCAGGATCTCACCACCTTCACTTGTTCATTAGCAAACAATTATTAATCCTGTTTATTTTGTGGTAGTGGTTACTAATAAACCCCACAGAAATAAATGGGAAATAGGAGTTTGCTATTCCCAAGGAGCAATACAAGCTCCCAGCACACTGGAAATGAGGAATAGCAGGATTTGGGGGTTCTCCATCTCCAGCAAGTGGGGATGGATTGGGATCCCTCACCGCAGCTTTTCCCTCCTCTCAGCCTGCAGGATTCCTTGATCCTGCATCCAGAGAAAATCATTCCTGGGGAGGGGAATATGGTTGGGGTTAATCAATCCCAATCCAGCAGTGGAGCAGGGTGGCCTGGAAAACACCAGAATAAACTCTTGTGTTACAGGAGTGTCTTGGAAACTAACAGTGAATAAATAAATTCCACCATTGACAAAATATTTTATATTATATATTATTATATATGCTATTTATATCTTTATACATTTCTCTGTAATTTTTCGTTCTTTATTTATAAATAATTTTCGTGGGTTTTTCATAGTAACACATTCCATATCTTTCATTGTATTTTATAGATTTTATTTAATCTGAATAATCAAAAATAATAATGACCTTCTGAAATAAAGACCACAAAAAATAATCGAAAGTCCCTGCAGTGTGGGGGTAATTCTGCAGTTTATCAGTAGATGGTGGTAGAAGCCCTGTGACACTGAGCTCCAGGCTGAGCTGGTGGCACTCCCAGCCCCAGGGGACGGCAGTGTCACCTGTCCCCGTGCTCCCCCAGGCTACAGAGCGGGATGAACCTGCAGATCTGCTTTGTCAACGACAGCGGCAGCGACAAGGACAGCGACGGCGATGACAGCAAGACAGAGACCAGCCTGGACACGCCCTTGTCACCCATGGTGGGTCTGGCACCTCAGCCTGCAGCAGGAACAGCCACAGGGAATCCCTGAGCAGGCTGAGCCTGTTAAAACAGAACCCCAAACCCCAGAGCAGCATTTCCAGCCCTCAGTAAAGTGTGAGATGCTGAGGGACAGATAAAAAACGTCCCCTGCTGCTGTAGAGTTGATGCCTTCATGTGAACCTTTCCTTTCCTTTCCTTTCCTTTCCTTTCCTTTCCTTTCCTTTCCTTTCCTTTCCTTTCCTTTCCTTTCCTTTCCTTTCCTTCCCTTCCCTTCCCTTCCCTTCCCTTCCCTTCCCTTCCCTTTCCCTTTCCCTTTCCCTTTCCCTTTCCCTTTCCCTTTCTCTTTTTCTGCATGGATCCAGCATTCCTTTTTGGGTGTAACACCACAGCCCCAAGTGTTTCCCTCCAGTTTAACCTTTCAACACCTTCTGATCTGCTGGGCTCCTCTTTCCCTGTAAAGCCAAGGAGGCCTAGCTGGGAATCACTCTGATTTTTCAAGATAATCCTGCAGATTAAGATAAAAAAATAAACCCATGCCTTTCACAGTTTCTGTAGGGAAAAAAAAGCACAAAAATAGGTCAAACTTTGCTGTGGCTTCTTTGCTCCCCTAGAGCAAGCAGAGCTCGTCCTACTCGGACAGAGACACGACGGAGGAGGAGTCGGAGTCCCTGGACGACATGGATTTCCTCAGCAGGCAGAAGAAGCTCCAGGCTGAAGCCAAGATGGCCTTGGCTATGGCAAAGCCCATGGCCAAGATGCAGGTGGAGGTGGAGAAGCAGAACAGGAAGAAGTCGCCGGTAGCAGATCTCGTAAGTGGGGCCAGGGTGAGCCCAGCCCTGGACATGCACACCTCCGGTGGCTCTGGCTCACAGGGGTGCTGCAGATGCACAGGAGGGTGGAGAAGGGGTTGGAAGGAGAAATGGGAGCAGGGAATGAGGTGCTGGAGGTTGGTGCTGCCTTGAGGCTGCTCATGCTCTGAGCTGGAGCCTGTTCATCCCATCCTGGAGCACTCCTGCCCCGGCCCAGGGCTGTCACCACCACCCTCACCCCCAATTCCAGCAGATATTCCTGCTTCTGCTCCACTGGGAGCCAATTCCAGCAGATATTCCTGCTCCTGCTCATCTGGGAGCCAGTTTCAGCAGATATTCCTGCTCCTGATCCCCTGAGAGCCAATTCCTTCAAATATTCCTGTTCCTGCTCCACTGGGAGCCAATTCCTTCAAATATTCCTGTTCCTGCTCCACTGAGAGCCAGTTCTATCAAATATTCCTGCTCCTGCTCCACTGGGAGCCAATTCCTTCAAATATTCCTGTTCCTGCTCCACTGGGAGCCAATTCCTTCAAATATTCCTGCTCCTGCTCCACTGGGAGCCAATTCCTTCAAATATTCCTGCTCCTGCTCCCCTGGGAGCCAATTCCTTCAAATATTCCTGCTCCTGCTCCCCTGGGAGCCAATTCCTTCAAATATTCCTGTTCCTGCTCCACTGAGAGCCAATTCCTTCAAATATTCCTGCTCCTGCTCCACTGGGAGCCAATTCCTTCAAATATTCCTGTTCCTGCTCCACTGAGAGCCAGTTCTATCAAATATTCCTGCTCCTGCTCCACTGGGAGCCAATTCCTTCAAATATTCCTGCTCCCCCGGGAGCCTCAGGCCCAGCTTTGCGCTGGTGGCTGGACTCCCTTTGGCCTGTTTGTGAGGGGGGGGGATGCAAAACTGAGGGGACAAACTGCTCAGAACTAGAAATAATGGGAAGAAAACAGTAAAATATTGGAAGGAAACGGTAAAATATTGGAAGGAAGCAGTAAAATATTGGAAGGAAGCAGTAAAATATTGAATATTTCTTTCCAGCTGCCACATTTGCCTCATATAAGTGAATGCCTCATGAAGAGAAGTTTAAAACCCACTGACTTAAGGGACATGACCATCGGGCAGCTACAGGTGATAGTCAACGACCTGCACTCACAGATAGAAAGTAAGTGGTAATTGCTTAATTATTCTGGGGTCTGCCTGCTTTAATTAAGAGCAGTTCTCTGGGATAAATATAAATATTCCTCGTGGGAAGGGCTGTCCAGCCTGGCCCAGCTGCCCAGGCCCGGGCTGGGCCCCCATCCCTGCAGGGGTTTCAAGCCCTGTGGATGTGGCACTTGGTGGGGGGACAATCCCAAATTGGGGTGCCCGGGACAACCCCAAACTCAGCCCCTTTCCCCTGGCTCAGGCTTGAACGAGGAGCTGGTGCAGCTGCTGCTGATCCGGGACGAGCTGCACACGGAGCAGGACGCCATGCTGGTGGACATCGAGGACCTCACCAGGTGAGGCAGGGCTTGCTGTCCCTCACGGCCCCAGCCTGCCGCCAGCACCATCTGGGGCTTGCCTCCAGCAGGATTTTGGGATTAAAGCCTTTGCCATCCAGGATTTTGGGAAGGAGTTGTTCCCTGGGAGGTTGGATGGATTTTCCAGGCTGATCCCTGGATCCCTGAGAGTGCCCAAGGCCAGCTTGGACAGGGATCTGCCTTTGTCATCAGGAGGGCTGGACAAGGGGAAGAGCTTTGGAATTACTTAAACAATAATATTTAATAATGATAAAATATTAATATTTAAGTAATTAATATTAATATTTAAGTAATAAAATGATATATTTTATATAATATATATTTTATATAATTATAAAATAATGTAGATATTATAAATAGTTATTATCTATATAATATACTACATGACATAGAAAATTATATCACTTCATATATAATAATATGTTTTATAATATAATATATATAATATATTATATATATTATGTATAATATATATAATATATATTATATATGTAATTACATTAGAATAAGACATTATATTATGATATATTATATATATTAGATATTTTTATTATATACAATAATATTGCATAATATAAATATAATACCATTTTCTAGCTATGTAATAATTATTAATAATAATTAGAATTTATAAGACAGAAAGCCTTGCAGGATATGGGCAGGTTCCCTTAAGGGCTCCATCCCCTGGCAGCAAGGCTCAGGAGTCATTTTTGTTTAGGATAATTAGGGATGGGCTTTAGGAATATAAAATGCTCCCAAATATTCTGAGTATTTCATTCAGAAATGCAAAGACTGGGGATGAAAGGAGCTGGAAAAGAAGAGGCCCTGGTTGGTGTCAGCACACCAGGACTGTGATTCCAAACTGAAGCATTAGAGATGGGATAAAAAATGGAGATCAGGTGGGGAGGGGAAGTTTGGGATGGGAGCTGGGGCTGAGGCAGTGCCACCATGCCCTGGGTTCTCCTCCTTCCCTCTGGGAAGTGCTTTGCTTCCTCCCTGCAGCTCCTGGCACTCTCAGAAATGGCAATTTTGGGGATGCTGGGGGCACTGGCTGTGCCATGTGCTGTCTGGGGGTTTTGAGGTTACCCCCTCTGTTACTTGGGGGTGAAAGTTTGGGAAGGGAGGGAAAAATCCCAGGAGCCCCAAACCAAACCCAGATCCAGAAAAACTCGTGTTTTTTTTCCTGGGAAGACTCAATTCCCAGCTCGGTGCTGGAGCAGGGGGTTGGGTTTTCCAGCTTTTCCTTGGAGAACAGGGAATAACAGCCCCCTCCTGCCCTCAGGCACGCCGAGAGCCAGCAGAAGCACCTGGCAGAGAAGATGCCAGCCAAGTGAATCCCTCCTCCTGCCTCTGTCCTGTCCAGGGAGTTCCAGTGTTGCTCATTGACCATGTCCCAAGCTTTCTGTCTGGTGATTGGCCTCTGCTTCTTAATTTATTTTAATTTTTTTACTCGTGCCACTAAATATCAGGCATTTTAATAATAATAATAATATTATTATTATTGCAGAAACAAAGAGAATTGTACAGTACTTATAACATTATAAATCATGGGCGAGAAGAGAGGGTAGTTTAACTTTATTTTTGGTTGTTTAGAGATTTTTTGGGTTGGATGATATTTTACCATTGACTACTTTTTTATTCCTCACTGTAGTTTTGAAATAAAGAACCTGTTCTTGACGGTGCTATACAAGTCAACAAAAAAATCCATGCCTGCCTCGTAGTGACGTCGTAGCTTTCAGTAATCTGTACATTTTACTCAGTTCTCAACATTTTGGGGAATGTTGACTACCTGACATTCATTTTTAGGTGTGCTATTAACACTCGGTGGGGTGCAGAGAGTTGGGAGTTTTCTGTATAAAGCTGTAAAATAAAAATTACCACCATTGTTTCCTATGACACGTCTGTTTGTTGCCAAGGGCGTGGATTTGTTGGTGGATCTGGTGAAAAAAATGTGAAAAAAACCTTTTTTTTTTGCCTTGCTGATCACATGAAACTGAGAGAACAGAGAGGTTTTGTAGAGTTATTTATTTACAAGTTCCTAATTCTGCTTCACATGGGTTCTTGTGTAACACTGAGCCCTGAATTTGTGATGGTTGGAAGCAGCAGACACACACCCCAGGTAGGCTTTTTATATTTTATTGTCTGGGCTGAACAGTTCAATGACATTTCAGAAATAAAAAGAATAATTATGTTAAAAATGGGCAGCAAATTAAACTGATTAAATATGGAATTCCTCACTCTGACTGTAGGACAGGGGACACTGGGACAAAATAAATTTGTCCCCATCCCTCTTTTATTGGATTTAAAGCTGGAAGAACCCAGCCAACCCTTCCTAAGTCCCAGCCTGGTGCTCCCAGCAGCTTTTTACCTTTTAATTCTCATTTCCTTGGGGGCAAATCCATCCCAGCCAAGGCTCTGCCTGATGACTTATTCAGGGTGTTTGCAAAAGGCCTCAGCTGCATTAAAATTTCATCCCTTGCCAGGAATGGCTTTTATTAAAGCACTTTTTTCTTTTAGAAAATTACTTTTCCCCCACTTTTTTTGCAGAAAGGGCAGAGTTGGAAGAAGCCCTCGGCGGGCTTTGGAGGCTGGGATGTGAGTTGGTTTAATTTAGGGAGCAGGGATGGATTAATTTAATAAGGATTTAGCAATTGAAAGGATTAGGAGCCCTCACCTGCAGCCCAGGAAAAAGTCAACCCTTTTCTTCCTTATTTTTAAATCCATGCAGAAAATATAGAGAAATATTGGGGTGTTGCTCTCCCTGCAGCTCTTGGGTGGCTGCCTGCACATGGGGAGAGCTGCTGGGTTTAAATGTTCCCTCTAAAGGTTAAATTTTCCCTCAAAACCCCCAAATTTGCAGTGTCTGACCCCAAAAGTTCTCCGTGGATGCTCTTCCTCCGTGGGAAGCAGCTCTGGCTCTCAGGGAGGAGCTGCCTCCTGCTGTATTTAAAGCACAAAAAAATCAAAATACACAAAGTTTGCTCTCAGCTTTAAGGGAAAAAATATCAAAATAAAGCAAGTAAGCTCCAGGGTGCTCCTGGGGAATCCCACAGCTCCCCTGGCACCCTCCAGCTCTGGAGCACCGGGATGGGGCAGCCTGGAAAGGCTGGAATTCCATTCCTGCTAAGTGCCTTTGACTGGCTGGAGAGAATTTGTTATCCCACTCACCCACCGCTGGTGTTCCCCTCCTGTGCTGGGGGAATTGGGTTTTTCCAGGAGAAAATCCTGCTCTGGCTCTCCTTGGCTCCGAGGGGTGCTGGAATTGATGGATTAAAGGATATTTCTGAAACACAAGGAGCTGGTGTGGTTTCTGAGCAAGCTTTTGGTTTTGTGTTTTGTTCCTGGCTCTTGGTCCCACTTGGAGCCTCCTGCACCCTCCTGGGTGGATTTTTGATTCCCAAAAAGCATAAACCTTCTCCCACAGGATGCCAGGCTGGGAATTGTTCTCCAGCTGGTCTCAATCCACAACATCCCTTAATATTTTCAAGTCTCACTCTAAACCCACCTGTGCCTGAAGAGCTGCATTAAATAAAAAACAAGCCCCAAATCCTCCTCCTGCCTGAGGCAAGGTCCTGCTGATGGGAATTCCTCTACCCCTGGGAACTGGGATGGGCTTTATGAGGCAGCTGCTTCCTGGCAGGGAAGCCCTGTGGTTTGGGTCCCCCTTTTTGGGATTTTCTGCCCTTTTTTAGGCTCCTCCTCTCCAGCAGCTCCGGGGCGTGCTGAGCAGCCTCTCCCCGGACACAGAGGCTCCACCGTGGGCTGGGAGCATGGAGAAGAGGGGAAACTGTGGCTGTCCCATCCCTGGGAGTGCCCAAGGCCAGGCTGGACAAAGGAATTGTCCCTGCCATGGGCAGGATGGAATGAGATGATTTTAATGTCCCTCCCAACCCAAACCATTCCGTAATCCCACCAAAACCACACACGTGGCTTTTCACTCTTCTTTTTCAGAGCAGCACTAATGAGCCTGTGACAGCAAAGGCAGCTCAGACGGGACACTTTGGGATGGGGGGACATTCCCTGGGTGTGTCCCCTGTCCCCGGGCCATCCCTGTGCCTCACACCCTGCCAGGGAGGGTGCACAGCTCCCAGGTTTTCCCTCTCCAAAGCGAAGCCCCCTCCAGGCCGGGGGGGCTCCCTGGGCTGGAGCTGACGTCCCTCCCGCTTCCCCGCACATCCCACGCCTCTCCCCAGGCGGTTTCTCTTCCCTCTTCCCATAAACCAAAGGAAAGCCTCAAGTGCAGGGCTCTCTTCCTCCTCTGCTGCTCCAGGGGTGAGCAGGGACATCTGTGTGCCCACAGCACAGGGAATTTTCCAATTCAAATGGGATCAAACCGGCTAAAATCTGCTTTTCCAGTCCCTTGGTGGGATCAGCCCTTGCCTCTTCCCTCAGATCAGCTCCTTCCCAGTGGGAAAATATGGGAAAATATAATTTAAGGTCTCTTGGCTGTGGAGGAACAAAAGAAAAAGGATAGATGGAAAAGAATTTATCCCAATTTTTGGTGGTGCCACAGGTTCTGACCCATCCTAGCCCATCCTGCTCCATGGATTTTAGAGTTTGATGCCAGGCTGGGATTGCTGATGGAGAAATCGCCACAGAGGGCTGGGAGCAAAGCCCAGGCACCAGGGTGATGGTGGGCACAGCCTCCCAAGGGAAGCATTTTTGGGGAAGAAACTCACCTTAAATGGAGAGTGAAGCATCCTCATCTGTCTGAAAAATGGGAATTGCGGTTTTACATGGATCTCTGGGGCTATTCCAGGCAGCTCAGCTCACCTCTCCTCTGCTCTCTTCTGCTCTCCTCTGCTTCCAGACAGGGCTGTGGGAGAAGGAATTTTCCCAGGTGTTCTCCCAGGTGGAGCTGGGGAATCCCACAGCACTGGGATGAGGCAGCCTGGAAAGGCTGGAATCCCATCCCCTGCTAAGTGCCTTTGACTGGCTGGAGAGAATTTGTTATCCCACTCACCCACCGCTGGTGTTCCCCTCCTGTGCTGGGGGAATTGGGTTTTTCCAGGAGAAAATCCTGCTCTGGCTCTCCCTGGCTTCGTGTTCCACCATGGACAAAGGGCTGACACCCCAGACTCCAGTTTGGGAAAGTCCCACTGGGTGCTGAGGGAATTCTGCTGGAATACCCACAGGGAGTGACCCAGAGCAAGGACCAGAGCTGGAACGTGGCTCCGCACTCCCAAACCACGCAGAGATGGATTTTTGGGAGTGGGGAAGGGATCCCCACAGCTGGAGCTCTGGATGCTGGGAATTTCAGACTTTCTGTGCTGACAGACTCTGACCCCCAGGAGAGACCTGCATTGACCTGAGGCTGTGGAGAAGGCTTCCAAAATGGAATGAGAAGAATTACATTACTAGAATTACAAGTGTGTAATTAATTAAAAGTGTGCAATATCACCAAGTAGAAAACATCAAGGTTAAAGTTTTAGAATACAATAATCTATATAAAACAAAATAAATATTTTAAACCAGAAACTAGTCCTTCTTCTTTACCTTCTTCTCTCTTCTTCTTCATAAGTTTGAGTAGTATTTTGTAATTAAACAGGAAAGCCCACATTGTGGACTTTAAGTGATTAGTTATTGAGTTAAAAAAAATTAAGTATCATTTCTTAATTAGATAGTTTAACCTTAAAAAATCTTAAAACAAAAGATTGTTAACCATTTTGTACCTTGTCAGTGAAGAGCTACAGAACTCACTACCTGTAAGACAGAAACATAAATGAAAATAATGAACACCTGAGGCTAAACACAATCATCTCAAGTACCTTCAATCCCAATAATAACTATAGGAAAAAAATCTTAAAGATAGAAAATCTTAAAGACAGAAAAAAAATTTTGATCGAAAATTAAGATTAAAATTTCTTTCAATCTTAAAGATAGAAAAAACCCCCCAAACCCAACAGCCCATCAGTGTGTGACCCCTCACCTGGAATGAGGGAAGGGAGGGGACTCAGCCCCTGTGTCCATGGCCAGGGACAGTTTGGGGCTGGGAGATGGCACCAGGGTTGGACAACCCTTTCTGGGCTGCTCCAGCAGCTCAGCCCACCTGGAATGGTTTGGGATTCCCACAAAGCCTCACAGCTGGATGGGAGGCACCTCTGGATACTGCAGAAAGGGGATTTCCCCTCCAGGCTGGGGTTTATTTGTGTTTCATGTTTATGTTTGGTGTGTTTCTGGTTTATTTCTGCTCGCAGCCAGCTCCAGCTGGGGAAATGCCCCGAGCTCTGCAGCTCCGGTGCCCAGCTCACGGGCTTTGAGTGAAACCCTTTCATTTTCTGCAGCATTTGCATCAAATGCAGGGTTTATTTTTGCCACAGAAGGCACGGGGCAGGAGGGATCTCCCGGGCTCTGCCAGCTCCTGCACGGGCAGCAGCTGCCCCTGGAAGGAGAGGGAGCCCTGGGTGTCACCCACGTCCTGGGACAGGATAAATCAGGATATTCCTGTGCCCTCTGTGGGAGCCACGTCACCCAGAGCAGACCTGGGTGCCCTCCCCAGCTCCAGGAATCATCCCAAAACCAGGAATCACCCCAAAATCAGGAATGGTTTGGGTTGGAAGGGAAATGTCACCTCGCTCCCATGGCAGGGACACCTTCCCCTGTCCCAGGTTCTGCCATCCCCAGTGTCCAGCCTCCCTTGGGCACTGCCAGGGATCCAGGGGCAGCCACAGCTGCTCTGAATTCCACCCCAGCCCCTCCTCACCCTCCCAGGAAGGATTTCCTCCCAGATTCCCAGCTATCCCTGCCCTCTGGCAGTGGGAATCCATTCCCCCTGTGGCTTTCCTGCACTCCTTGTTTTAGTGGGAAGGACTAAAGGTCCCTTCCCCGCCTTCCCCACGGAACTCTGGCAGCTCTAACCTGCTTTAGGTCGGCTCCTCCCATCCCTCATTGCACTAATTCCCTTTTTCTCCTCACCAAGGCACGGGCAAAACCACAACATTTGGCCCTGCAGGGTGAATTCCTGCCAGGAGAGTGCCCAGCATGCAGGAGGAGCAGTGAAATCCCGGGCACAGCATTCCCGGGGGTCACTCCTGCCAAGCCCACGGCCCTGGGACAGGATCCCAGGGAATTCTGTGCCCGTGGGTCACCCCAGAGCTCCCAGGTGGCCCCAAGCTCTGCAGGCTCTGAGCTCTGCATCTCCTGGGCTTCCTCAGCTGCTGGCCTGGCACAGCTTGGAGAATTCCATCATTAATGGCACTTGGGAAATCATGGTACATCAAAGAAATGCTGAAAAAAAATCTCCCTGAGCAGCTCCTGCCCTTCCAAGATCAGATTTCGTTCTTTTCTCCACCTGCAAAGCCAGTGTGAGGTGAAAGGGCAAATCTGACCACAGCAAGGACAAAATTCCTGCTTTTCCCCATCCTTGCTTTCCTGCTGCAGCACCCCCAGCCGGGAGGTGGCAGGGGGGATGAGGAGCAGAAAAAGCACCCAGAGCTGAGAAATTCTGTCAAGGGTGAAAACTGAAAGTGAGAGAGAAAGAGCTCCCCGAAAGTGCCACGAAACCACGGGCACAGCTGGCATCACCTCCTTGCTCACCCACAGCTCTGGGGCCAGGCCCAGGGAGGGTGAGATCACAGGATTCCCAAATTCACAGGGGGATGCAGCCCTCCATCCAGCCCTGGTGGTGCTTCCTGGAGGTTTTTATTCCTCTTAATTCTGTGGAAATTTAAAACAAACCCCACAGGGCTGATGGACCCACAGGGAGTTAAAATCCTGGAATGGGTTGGGTTGGGAAAGGACCTTAAATCCCAGTTCCATGGGCAGGGAATGGGAATAATCCCGAATCTGTGGGCTGGGCTGTGGTGCTCTTCAGTGTTTATTCCATAGAAACATTAAATCATGGAATGGTTTGGGGTTTTGGGGGTGGAATGGACCTCAAAATTCACCCAGTTCCACCTTCCCAGGGTGCTCCAAGCCCCCTCCAGCCTGGCCTTGGACACTTCCAGGGACAGGGAATCCGAAATTTCTCTGGGAATCCACAATCTCTCTGGGCTGGGGCTTCCCCACCCTCCCAGGGCAGAATTTCTCCCTGATCTCTGCTCCTCCCAACTCAGTGGGAGAAATTCCCTAAAAAGCCCTGAGGGCTTTTTAGGGAATCCCAGCCCTGACCCAGGGGTTCCCAGCGGCTTCACCCCTTCCCCAGGATGAATCCCTTCCCCTGGAGAGGGGATTGGAGCTTTGGAGCCTGCAAAGAGCAACCTCTGGATTTGGGGATCCCAAGCTGGGTGCTCCCAGAGCTGCCAGGAATCCAGGAGCCAGGAACCAGCAGGGATCGTGGGGAAATCTCAGGAATTCTGGTGGCAACTGGGAAAAATAAGAGCCAAGAGATGCAGGAGAATGAGCCAGGATTTCAGAGGTTCCAGCACCCCAAGGAAGCTCCAGAAACACCATTTAATCATCCCCTGATGAAATACCAGCAAGAGCAGAGGTTTGGGATTAGGAACTTCAGGGAATTACATGAGGAATTAGAACCAACAGCCACTAAAACACCAGGAAAGTTTCTCCTGAGCCTTTTTTTCCCTATTTTATGGAGCCATCACTTCCCAACCCAAATCAGAAACAGCTTCTGTCAGTGTGGATCTTCTGGTGATAAATCTGACCTTGGATCTTCCCAAAAAATGATCCAGAGGCAAATAAATTATTCAATATTCCACAAGTTCTGTGAGTGGCAAATAGGAACAGACCCCTTTTATTTATTGCATCAGGGAATCCATCAGAAATTCCATGAGATATTTTCCCATTTTTTAAAGGAGCAGTGATCTCTGTCTCCAGCTGCCCATCAGCCTGGGTGGGATTGAATCACCCTGCAGCTTTAATTTCTATTTCTCTACAATTATTGCTTAATTTGAGCTATAAAATTATTGCTATTTCCAATGCCAAGCAATAGGGCTGCCCTACAAAGAACCAAACCCTTCCCACTGAGGATGGCACGAGCGACTCCATGACCTTCCCAAAGGGTTTGGGGCCTGTTCCTGAGGAAAATCCATCTAACTTTAAATTCCAGGAGAAACAACCCCCCACAGCAGGCAGGAAACATCCCTAACCCTCATTTCCCTCAAAGCAAGGTCGATGCCCATGACTCTTACCTAGAAACCTTTGGTGCCTTGGCCAAAATGAAGCCAAAATTTCCATTTCTGTTTATTGGAGGGGAGAGGAGCCAAGACTGGAAGGAAAGGCAGGACATTTCCAGGAACCTCCCGCTTTTTCAGAAGAGCGAGGCTGGAGCTGATCCCATTTCTCATCTCTCAACTCCCCAGGCCTCAAAACCAAACTGAGCCCAGGGGCTTTGGGGCTTTTCTCAGCGGGTTTCTTTCTGATCTGTGCTTTCCCTTTCTGCCTCAAGCAGGATTTTTGGGTATTGATCTGGGTGAGGGCAGAGCCCGGAGCAGGGATTCCCCAAATTTTGACTGCATTAGGTCAAATCTAAATTTATAGAGACCCAGAACAATCCTGACTTTTCTCTGGAGGATAATTCCAACAAAAGGAATTTCTGGTTGAAATACAGGCAGTGGAATTATATTTTCTTGTGGAAAAAATCAAAGAGCTGCTAACACTTCTGTATCTTAACAGTTATATATTATAAATTTATAAAGTTATAAATTATATATATATAATAGATGTGATATTTATTGTCTATGTTGTCTATATATCTCTATTATCTATATTATCCATATTACAATTTTATATTTACTATTTATATTATATTATATTATATTATATTATATTATATTATATTATATTATATTATATTATATTGGGGAGGCCCTGGCACAGGGTGGCCAGAGCAGCTGTGGCTGCCCCTGGATCCCTGGATTTTATATGTATTATATTTACTATATTTATTATATTAACTATATTTATTTTATTATATTATATTATATTGGGGAGGCCCTGGCACAGGGTGGCCAGAGCAGCTGTGGCTGCCCCTGGATCCCTGGAATTGCCCAAGGCCAGGCTGGACACTGGGGCTTGAAATAACCTGGGATAGTGGAAGGTGGAACTGGATGAGCTTTAATGTCCCTTTCAACCTAAAAAATGCCATGATTTTGTGTTTGCATGAAATAAACACAAAGCAGCATCACAGATCATTAATTATTCCCATTCCATTTCAGCATTGCTTCCCATTCCTCTGGGACTGCACTTGCTCAAGGAATAATTCTTATTTAAATGGATTATAATGTATAAAACATATCCTTTTGCTCTAATATGATTACTATAAATTTTAATTATCAGGATTTTTCATTCAGGCTAAGCCAGGTCAAGCAGAGGGTGCTTTGAGGTGAAGGAGGAGAAGATGGATTTCTTCTTCCATTGGGAAAAAAAATTTCCACTCACCACAATTGAAATCCCAGAATCCTGGAATGGTTTGTGTTGGAATGACCTTAAATCCCATTCTGCCATGGCAAGGACAGCTCCCACTGTCCCAGGGTGTTCCAAACCCATCCAGCCTGGCCTGGGACACTGCCAGGGATCCCAGCAAGGATTCTAGGAGAGATCTGTAGGATATCATCAGGATACATCCCAAATAAACCCAAATCCCAGCCCAGCTCTGACCCTGCTGGGAAACCTCGTGTCCTGCTGGGAGCAGGGACTGAGAAACCTGGAAAGCCAAAACCTTTCAGGAACAGCCCCGCTGCACATCCCAAAATTCTCTTTCACTTTTGGCTCTCGGAAGCCGCGGCTCCTCCACGAGCTGGAAACCACAGCCCACGGTGAAGTGATGGGGCAGGAGTGGAAAACACAGAGAGAAATTGGAAAATGAGGCACTGCTGGTATTGGGGCTAAAAGAAGCCTCAGGACACGCCACAGGCTTCTTATAGGAAACAGTGAAAATACAAAGAACCTGAAAATGCAATATAAAACTCTTGATTCATCCTGCTCCCTTCCAGTTTGACAGCAAAAATCCCAGTGACTTCATGGCTGTCCCAATGCACAGAAAAGTTTTCTGCAGCCTTTTGGGGCAGCTGAGAATGGCCACGAAAAATAGGAGCCATTATTGAAATATATGTTGATTTATGCAAGTATTCCTGCAAAATCAAACATTCAGGCAGGTTTTTACAAATGTTCACTAGTGAGAGTTTTTCATTGGAGAATCAGAGAATCATGGAATGGTTTAGGCTGGAAAATAGCTCAAAGTTCATTAAGTTCAACCATCCCCAGCCCTGCCAAGGCCACCCTGAGCCCTGTCCCCAAGTGCCACCTCCCCAGGGCTTTAAATCCCTGCCGTGGACAGCCCCTTCCAGCCCTTTCCATGAAGGAATATTCCCTGATATCCAAGATGAGCTCCTCTGGTGAAACCTGAGGCTGTTTCCTCTTGTCCTGTCACTTTTTCCTTGAGAGGAAAGCAGGATAAAGGATGGAAATGGGAAAGCTGGAGAGAGATGATTTCCAAGGGATGGAGTGACAGAACAGAGAGGGAACGGCTTCAAACTGAGAGAGGAGGAGGTTTAGGTGGGATTTTGAGAAGGAATTCCTGGCTGGGAGGGAGGACAGGCCCTGGGATGGAATTCCCAGAGCAGCTGCGGCTGCCCCTGGATCCCTGCAGTGCCCAAGGCCAGGCTGGCACAGCGGAATCCCTGCCACTGGAATGAGAGCATCTTTAAGGATCCCTTCCAACCCAAACCATCCCACGACGCTGTGATTCCCTGGAAGTTTATCCCCGTGCCTCGCACTGACCTGAACCAACCCCACTTTTCGGGAAGCCCTTTGTGCAGAGGCCGAGGAAGGAGCTCCAGCCCTGCGGGATTCCCGGCGCCGCCGCTCTCGGGATGAGCCCGGGGGAACTCCCGCTGCTCCTCTATAAGAGCTGTCCCCGGCGGGGACCGGCGGCAGCGACATGCAGCGGGGCGGGAACGGCACCGGGAGAGCCGGCAGCGGCACCGGGAACATCGGGAATAACTCCGGGAATAACTCCGGGAATAACTCCGGGAATGGCGCCGGGAGCGGGCGGGCAGCGCTGCCTGGCGGCCCCGGGCGGGCACTGCTGTGGCTGGCGCTGCTGCTGCTGCTGCCCCCGGCCCGGGCACTGCCCAGCCCGGCCCGCCACTGCCACCCCCCAGCCCGGTGCCTCAGCCGCTCCCGGGAGCTGCTGGAAGCCGCCAACGCCGCCCCGCAGCGGCTGAAGGTGAGCGGGGAACGGGACGGGATATCGGGGCTGGGATGGGGCTGGGGTGGTACCCAGGAGATATGGGATGGGGCTGGGGTGGTACCCAGGAGGGCAGGGATGGGGCAGGGGTGGTACCCAGGAAGGCAGGGATGGGGCTGGGGTGGTACCCAGGAGGGCAGGGATGGGGCAGGGTGGTACCCAGGAGAGATGGGATGGGGCTGGGGTGGTACCCAGGAGGGCAGGGATGGGGCTGGGGTGGTACCCAGGAGAGAGGGGATGGGGCAGGGGTGGTACCCAGGAGAGCAAGGATGGGGCAGGGGTGGTACCCAGGAGAGCAGGGATGGGGCAGGGGTGGTACCCAGGAGGGCAGGGATGGAGGGTGGTACCCAGAGAGGTGGTGAAGGTACCCAAAAGCCAGTGAGGAGCCAGTGGTGGCACCCAGGAGGGTGGGGATGGCACCAAGGCAGGCAGGGATGGGTAACTGCACTCCCAGGAGAGCAGGGATGGTCCCCAGGCACCAGCTGGGCAGCCAGGGGCTGCTGAGAACCCAGGAGGGCAGGGATGGGACAGTGGTGACACCCAGGACAGCAGGGATGGGACACTGGTGACACCAAACCGGGAAATGCTGGAGTAGTTTTGGTCCCCAGGTTGGCAGGGATGTCCCCAGGATGTCAGTGACAGTCCCCAGGACATCAGTGGTGGCCCCAGGACATCAGTGGTGGCCCCAGGATGTCAGTGATGGTCCCCAAACTATTTCCTGTATTTCATATTCAACCTCACAGAGCCTCATTCCTGGGGTTCATCTGAGCACAGACACATGAAATTGTGTATCAAACTGTGTCTACTACAGATAAATGTATAAAAATATAGAAATTGCCTTGTGAAGCTTTAATAATAAAAGGACCCTTTAATAAAAAAGGACCCCTTTTTTATTCCCTTTCACCCCAGGAATCCAACACCCTGGGATTTGAGTGCACCCTTGAGGAGGTGGATCTGCAGGACATCACTGAGAGCCAGATGAACACCCTCAGAGCCTGCACAGCTGAGGATCCAGGGGTGAGACACAGAGAAATTACAGATCCAATTTAAATTTTACCTCGTGGTTTCGTGGAATGCATCATCCACACTCCCATTAAATCACAAATCTTAATTCTTGTTCAATTTGCAGCCTGGAAATTGCCCCACCCTGGAAAAATCAACTTTGGATGAGGTAAACAGAAATTTCCCAAACAATCTCCTTCTTTTGCTCGTTGTGTGTTTAAAGGAGCAGCACATTCCCACATTTCCTGGCAATTCTATTTATTTCCTGGCAATTCTATTTATTTTTCCCCAGGGAAAATGCCTGCAGGGCATCTCTGAGGACGTGAGAGCCTACAGGGCACAGCTGAGGACCCTCCCCGACCCCCAGCTGCTGGCAGCTCTCGATGGGATGATGGAGGTGAGGATTCCTGCCCCCACAGACCCCAAAATTCAGGAAATTGGGAAGGAAAACCTCCATTTCTCCTCCATATATTGAAATCTAACAGACCTGGTGCACCAGGCGTGACACAGGATGGATTAAAGGTTGATAATTCCAATTTTAGCCTCAGTCTATAAATGCAATCATGAAATATTTGAAATTTTACCTTATTAATGATAAGATTCAATATTTTAAATTTTATCTGCAGTCTATTCATGCAATTGTGAAATGTTTCAAAATTTACCTTATTAACGATCAATTCAATATTTCCAATTTTACCTTTGCTCTATTCGGGGTAAAAGAAATATTTCAAAATGTACCCTATCAATGCTATCATTAAATATTTCAAATTTTATCCCCAGTCTGTTAATGCTATCATAAAATATTTGAAAATTTCCCTTATTAATAATTATTTCAAATTTTACCCTATTAATGCAATAGTTAAATATTTCCAAAATTTCCCTATTCATGACAAATTAAATATTTCAATTTTCATTCTCAGTCTATTCTTGATACCATGAAATACTTCCAAATGTACCCTAATATTGACAAATTAAATATCCCCATTCTTCCCTCAGTCTATTAATGATAATTTAAATATCCCAAATTTTTCCCTCAGTCTATTTATGACAAATTAAATATCCCAATTTTTCCCTCAGTCTATTAATGATAATTTAAATATCCCAAATTTTTCCCTCAGTCTATTTATGACACATTAAATATCCCAAATTCTTCCCTCAGTCTATTCACCACAAATTAAATAGCCCAAATTTTTCTCTCACTCTATCAATGATAAATATCCCAAATTTTACCCTATTAATGATAAATTAAACATCCCAAAATTTTCCCTCACTCTATTTATGACAAATGAAATACCCCAATTTTTTCCCTCAGTCTATTGTTGTTAATTTTAATATCCCAAATTTTTCCCTCACTCTATTTATGACAAATTAAATATCCCAAATATTAAATATCCCAAATATTAAATATCCCAAATATTAAATATCCCCTCATGAGAAATTAAAATATCCCAGATTTTCCTTCACTCTATTCACCATAAATTAAATATCCCAAATTTTTCCCTATTAATGACAAATTAACCATCCCAAATTTCCCCCTTGACCCATCCTTACGTCCCAGTCTTGCCGCTCATCCCTGAGGGGGTGAAAATCCCAGGAATTTTTGGGTTTAAACCGTTTCCTAACCCCGTGCAGGCCCTGGGCAGCAGCAGCGGGCGGGTTCGGGAGGCGCCGCTGGGATCATCGGGATCACCGGGATCATCGGGATTGGGATCATCAGCATCGGGATCGTCGGGATCATCGGGATTGGGATCATTGGGATCATCGGCATCGGGATCGTTGGGATCATCAGGATTGGGATCATTGGGACTGGGATCATCGGGATCATCGGGATCATCGGGATCACCGGGATCATCGGGATTGGGATCATCAGCATCGGGATCGTCGGGATCATCGGGATTGGGATCATCAGCATCGGGATCGTTGGGATCATCGGGATTGGGATCATCGGGATTGGGATCATCGGGATCATCAGCATCGGGATCATTGGTATCATCAGGATTGGGATCATCAGGATTGGGATCATCGGCATCAGGATCATTGGGATCATCAGGATTGGGATCATCGGGACCGTTGGGATTGGGATCATCAGGATCACCAGGACTGGGATCATCGGGACCGTTGGGATTGGGATCATCGGGATCATCGGCATCGTTGGGATTGGGATCATCGGGATCATTGGGATTGGGACCACTGGGATCCCCAGGACTGGGATCATTGGGATCAGGACCATCGGGATCATCGGGATCCCCAGGACTGGGATGGGCGCCGTTCCCGGAGCGGCTGCGGCTCTGCGGGGTCCTGCAGGCTCTGCGCGTCCGCAGCGTCACCATCTGCAGGGTGCTGAGCTTCCTCAGCTCCCCCTGAGCCCGGGAATCTCCCACTGAGCATCCCACGGAATTCCCACGAGCTGTTTTTAGGGAGTTGTGCCTTTTAAACCACGTTAAATTCCCGAGGCTTTTGGGATCTAAGCTACATCCGAGCACCAGAATGTTCCTGACTCTGATTTCTCCGTATTTATTCTGCTGATTCCTCAGGGACTGAGAGCTGTTTATGGCAATTCCTTTTCCTGGGGATCCCTTCCAGCTCAGGATATTCTATTCCATTATTTATTTGGGATGATATTCCATTCTGTTCCCTGATTTATGATGACATTCCTTGACTAGAGATTCCATTCTGTTTAATGATTTATGATGATATTCCTTCATTTATGATGATATTCCATTCTATTCTGATTTATGATGATATGCCCTGATTTATTTATGATGATATTCCTTGATTTGAGATTCCACTCTATTTTGTTATTTATTTATGATTATATTCCTTGATTTATTTGAGATTCCATTCTATTTCATTATTTATTGATAATATTCCCTGATTTATTTATGATGATATTCCCTGATTTATTTATGATTATAATCCCTGATTTATTATGATCATCCTTCACTTACAATGACATTCCATTCTATTCCTTGATTTATTTATGATGATACTCCTGGATTTATTTATGATATTCCATTCTATTCCCTGATTTATTTATGATGACATTCCATTCTAGCCCATGATTTATTTATGATATTCCCTATTTATTCTATTTATTGCCTAATAAAATCAAGGTTTCCTTCAAAACCACGGTGATGTTTTTGTCCTTTGGGATACACCATGAATCCTTTGAAATACTTTGGATATTGCTTTGGAATACTTTGGCATGGGATGGCACCTCCCTGTAACTGGTTTCAAAATCCAAATTTCCCTCTTGGAAACACCTGGGATAGGGAAGGTGTCCCTGCCCCTGGCAGGGGTTGGAATGGGATGGGAGATTTTGGGATTTCCATCCCAGAAAATCCCTTGGATGCCTTTGGTGGCACCTCCAGCTTTTCCAGAGGCTGAGGAAAAACTTCCATCCTCCTCCTTCTTCCAGGAAATCAACAACTTCCCAACACTTCATCCAACTGCAACAAAAATCAAAATTCAGATGGAAATAATGGAATTTTTTCCTGTTTAATCCTTGTTTTTCAAAAGTATGTTTTCCTTTCCCAAACATACACAGAGAAAAATGATCCCAAGTATCCCACAGCCTTAAAAACAAGACAGTCCTGGATCTGGTCACTCCTCTCTTCTGCAAATTCCATTTTTCCCAATTTTTTTCCAAGCCTGCAGCACAGGGATTTTGGCTCCTCACATTTTAAGCACCTAAATTCTATCCAAGTTTGAATAAATCAAGTAAAAAAAAACATTAAAAAAGTATAAAAAGTTTCTCATACAAAAAAGGAATTATACAACGTAAAAAACGGAGACAAGCTATACAGAAAAGAGGGGAGAAGAAATTCCATGTGGAAGTTCTGGAGCTGCCTGGAGTTCACAGTGGTGTTCCCATCTTTGGGAATCTCAGGAAGCAGAACCACAGCTTAACAAGGACTGGATGCACAGGATCTGTACAATAATTCCATATATACAGTGATTATGCAAAGGAATTTGGTACAAGTTTCGGATTATTCTTCCCTGATCCATGAGAAATCCAATGCACCTCACGATTCTGGCAGGTCAGTGGTTTTTTTGGAAGGGGATGAAAGTTTCCAGGGGAATTCTTCTCCCTGTTTTTCCCTGACGGAAATAAAAATCTTTTCCAGGTGATGAAAAAGATCAAGTGGCTTCTTCCAGTGTTTGTGCCCTCCTGGAGTGACTTTCCCTGTGGGTGAAGCCCAGAATTCCGGGATCCACCTCTCCTGAAAGCCTTGGAAGTGGCTCCTACCCGAATTCCATTCCCGTTTCTCTGGAGGATCCTGCCTGAACTTCCCACCAGGAACATTCCTGAGTCCCAGCAGGATCCCAGGGAGCAGAATGGTTGGATTGGGAAGCTCCCACCTCCTCCTCTTCCTCCTCTTCCTCCTTCCAGCTGGCTCAGCTCTGAGCCAGGAAACCTGAGGGAAAGGAAAAGCACACCTGGATTGTGGGATCTCTGGAAGCTCCTGCAAGACTCAAACTGAGAGAAACTGGATTTAAAAATAATTTAAGTTGAAAAATAAATGTATTAAAGGCCTGAGGCAGCACAAGGCTGTGGCACAGAGTCGGTGAGGGAGAGCTCTCCTGGATCCCCAGGTTGTTTCCAGGGAGAATTAATCATGGAATTAGGCTGGAAAAGATCATCCAGTCCACCCATTCCCAGCACTGCCCAAGCCACCACTGCCCCACATCCCCCAGGTGTCACCTCCACACAGGAGGGTGGAGGGGGCCTGGGCAGCCCTTTCCATGAAGGAGTGTTCCCAATATCCAATCTGAACCTCCCCTGGCACCACCTGAGGCCACTTCCTTTTGTCCTAAGTTAAGGAATTGAGAAGGAACAAAGTTTTGCTGTTGCAAAAAAAAAAAAAAAAATTTTTGAGGACAGTTCCCCTTAGTTGGCTGAGTTAATAAAATTATGGAATGGTCTGGGTTGGAATGGACCTTAAAGGTCATTTAATTCCAACCCCTGCCATGGGCAGGGATAACTCCCAGCTCCTGGAATAACCTGGATTTGCAGAAGGTGAACTGAACATAAGAACTCCACAGAAAGGAGGGGGAGCTCCCTTGGGAAATCCATCCCCACGTGGGATGGAACCAACAAGTCCTCCATCAGGGAAGGTGTTAATTAACCATTAATTAACCATTCCTGAAATAAAGACCCAAGCAGCTCCTCTTTGGACTTCCAGGAAATCCCAAGAACTGCTCTGGACACCCAGGTCATGCTGGGAGAGCTCTCCACAATCGGGACAAAAATATTCATTTTGTATCAGTCCCTGAAGGATAAAAACACCACAAGAAATCAAGTCACTGCTGCTGGGAAAGGAGACAACCCTGACCTCCCTCCATGACAATCCGTGCACTGGTGATTTGGTGAATTCCCTGATGGAATTCCCACCCCAGCTGAGCCAGGACAGGCTCAGTCCCCGGGAGCCGGTACCTTGCAGCGCCTGCAGGATCTCGTAGGTGGCTTTTTCCCCCAGGCTCCTCTGCAAAGCCTCTGCAGTCCCACGGCCCTGCTCCCTCTCTCTCCACTTCCTCAGCACCAGGAGTTTCTGCATGGTCACGTCCTCCTCCATGGCCCGGATGTCATCGATGTCCTTCATCTCCATCTGCAGACACTCGATGGCCATTTCCCTCCAGTGCCGGTCCAGGAGCTTGGCAATCACCAGCAGCTGTTGGTCTGTCAAGCTTTTTGCTCCCATTCCGTCTGAAAAACATTGGATTTTCCCCAAAATCCACCCTGGGGCTCCCCTGGCCCAGCCTGAGGCCGTTCCCTCTCCTCCTGTCCCTGTTCCCTGGGATAAGATCCCAAATCCCCCCGGCTGTCCCCTCCTGTCAGGAGTTGTGCAGAGCCACAGGGTCCCCCCCGATCCCCCTTTTCTCCAGGCTCAGCCCCTTCCCAGCTCCCTCAGGATTCTCCAGCCCCTTCCCCAAGCCCATTCCCTTCCCTGGACACGCTCCAGCCCCTCCATGTCCTTGTGAGGAACCCAAAAGTGCCCCAGGGTTGGGGGAGCCTCAGCACAGGGGACACTCACAGCCCCAGGACCTCCTTGGCCACCCCTGGCTCGTGTCCAGCCACTGCCAACCATCACCCCCAGCCCCTTTTCCACCCTTCCAGCTGCTCTTCCCCAGGCCTGGACCATTCCACAGGGAAAAACCTTTGGAAACCGAGCTCAGTTCCAATCCCAGGACACCAAATCCCAGCCGGGTCCTTTCCCAGCCCTTCCCACCTGCAGTGCTGCCAGTTTTTTGCTTTTTGCTGTGGAGCCCCTCTTCCTCCAGGATGTTGAGGGCTGGCTTCCTCCTCTTCACACCTGGGGAGGGAGCAGAGGTGCTGTCACTGCTGTCCCCTGTGCCCAGGGAGGGGAAGGGGGGTCCCAGCCCAGCATCTGCAGGGTCACTCACTGCCTGTGCTCCTCTTCTGCTCATTCCTGTTCTGGTCGTAGTGGATCCAATCCCCTGGGCAAGGGCAGAGCAGGGAAATGTCAGGGAGGAATTCCCAGGGCAGGGCCCCTGCTCCAAGAGCTCCCAGGAATCCACAACGCTGGAATCCACACAGGGGGGGCATTCCAACCCCCCCCCAAGGTCTGACAGAAGGAGATTTTTCCCCTTTTATTCCACTGCAGCAGGCCCAAACAGGCTGCTGGAATCCACAAAGGGGGGCATTCCAACCCACCCCCAGGTCTGAGAGAAGGAGATTTTTCCCCTTTTATTCCACTGCAGCAGGCCCAAACAGGCAAGAGAGGTTGCAAGTTACAATGCAATAATATGCAATTTTTTATTCTATTACACAATTCTATGGATAATATATGGAGTAATATGCAGGAGGCTTGGAACGGAATGGTCTTTAATTTCCAAATGAAACCATTCCATGGGCAGAGGGATGGAGCAGCTCTGCTGGGAGAGCTGGGATTGTTCACCCTGGACAGGAGAAGCTTTGGGGTGACCTCACTGGGGCTTTCCAGTGCCTGGGGGAGCTGCAGGAGAGATGGAGAGAGAGAATTGACAAGGATGGAGGGACAGGACACAGGGAATGGCTCCCACTGCCAGAGGGCAGGCATGGATGGGAGATTGGGAATTGGGAATTCCTGGCTGGGCTGGGATTCCCAGAGCAGCTGTGGCTGCCCCTGGATCCCTGGCAGTGCCCAAGGCCAGGCTGGACACTGGGGCTGGAGCACCTGGGGCAGTGGGAGGTGTCCCTGGGGTGGAATGGATGGGCTTTGAGGTCCCCCCATCCCAGCCCATTCCCCAGTGCCAAGGACTCACTCTCTCGCAGCTTGGCTTTCCAGACAGTCTCATCCGAGTCCTGCTCCACCAGGGACAAGGTGAAGTCATCAGGCTTCTCCAAATACACCTCAAAGTAACTCTTCAGCTTCAGCAGTGACCCATCAACAAATTCAATCTCCTACACAACAGAAATACAAAATAAACCTAAATATTTACCTAAAATAAATGAAAGAGGAGGCAACTGGCTGTTGGGAGAGAGCTGAACCAAACTCCAATTTCCCCAGAGTTCTGCTGTTGACTTTAGCACCAGGATTTCATCCCAAAATTTTAGGGCTCTAAGAGGCAAATGGTTCTTCTTTGTGGCACATTTCCAGGGAAGCTGCAGTGCAGGAAGTGAGGGCTGTGCAAGGGACTCACCTCAGGAGTTATTTCAGCTTCTGGCTCACAGATCAGTCTGTACTTCTTTCCTTCCTGCAGTAATTTTTGGCATACAGGGGGCTTTTCGATTTGAACAAATTTTCTTTTCGAGTGTTTTACAGCCTTTGAGATATCCTAAAATTTAAACACACCATTTCAAGCTTAATATTTCAATGTTACTCATTTCAGTAAAGGAATTATCATCTAAAACCTGTGCTCAGGTGGCTCCTTGGGCTGTTCTCTGGCCCCAGCTTTACAGAACAGCCCTGATCTCCTCCATGAACTTCCCAGAAAGCTGTGGAATAACCACAATGCTCAAAAGCATCACTAAACCTCTCCTGTTCTGCCACGGGGGTGAAATGAAGTATGAGAGTTTGCCAGCTGAGTAAAAGGAAGGGTTTTGTCCCTGCCCTCACTCTAACAGGGTGAATTAAATTAAATTAAATTAAAGTCCTGCTCCTGCCAGAGCTCCTGAACGATCCCACAAACCCAATTTCCTAACTGGAACCCACTGCAGGGAAAGGCAAGGAATTTTCTAAAGCTGGAATTTTATCCTGGGTTAGCTCCATGGCCTCTCTTTCCTCTGCCCTCCTCAGAGGTCATTTCTGACGTGGCCCTTGGCAGAGGGGGAGTTGGTGGCACGTGGATGAATCCATTGTTAGCTGCTTTCCCAAATCCCCAGATTTTCACTGGGGACTCCAGGCAGCCTGTTCCAATGCTTGGCCACCCTTTTTACCTGAAGGAATTTTCCCTAATATCCAATCCAAACCTCCTCTGGCACAACTTGAGGTTGTTTCCTCTTATTACCTGGGAGAAGTGACTCGGATAAAGAATGGAAATGGAAAAGCTCAGAGACAACTTTCAAGGGATGCAGTGACAGAAAAAAGGGGGAATGACTTAAAATTCAAAGCCTGTATGTTTAGATGGGATATTGGGATGGAATTGGGGATGGAATTGTTCCTGTGAGGCTGGGGAGGGGCTGGGATTGAATTCCTAGGGAAGATGTGGCTGCCCCTGGATCCCTGGCAGTGCCCAAGGCCAGGTTGGACACTGGGGCTGGGAGCACCTGGGACAGTGGGAGGTGTCCCTGCCCATCCAGGGGTGGGATGAGATGGGATTTAAGTTCCCTTCCACCCAAAGCACAGAACCCTCACCCTCCGTCCCCAGCCCGGGCCGTACCTTGATGAAGGAGTCGTTGTTGGTGGCCAGGTAGACGCAGAAGGACAGGGAGGGGTGCTCGTCGATGGCTTTGTAGAGGATGACAGCCCCGTGGTACTGCAGGGGCTCGTGGCTGTGGATCAGGGGTCCCACGGGGGACAGGGAGCTCACCAGCCACTTGACGTGCGACGCCGAGAACTCGGCCGAGGGCTCGATGGCCGCGCCGCCGCCCTTGATGTGCAGCACCTTGAATGCCACGCCAGCCCCGTGACCTGTGGGACAGCCTGGCTCAGGGGGGATAGCCTGGCTCATCTGGGCACAGCCTGGCTCATCTGGGCACAGCCTGGCTCAGGGGGCACAGCCTGGCTCAGCTGGGGACAGCCTGGCTCAGGGGGGACAGCCTGGCTCAGGGGGGACAGCCTGGCTCATCTGGGCACAGCCTGGCTCAGGGGGGACAGTCTGGCTCAGGGGGCACAGCCTGGCTCAGGGGGGACAGCCTGGCTCAGGGGGACAGCCTGGCTCAGGGGGCACAGCCTGGCTCAGGGGGCACAGCCTGGATCAGGGGGCACAGCCTGGCACAGGGGGGACAGCCTGGCTCAGCGGGGCACAGCCTGGCACAGGGGGGACAGCCTGGCTCAGCTGGGCACAGCCTGGCTCAGGGGGCAAAGCCTGACTAAGGGGGGACAGCCTGGCTCAGCTGGGCACAGCCTGGCTCAGCTGGGCACAGCCTGGCTCAGGGGGGACAGCCTGGCTCAGGGGCACAGCCTGGCTCAGGGGGCACAGCCTGGCTCAGGGGGGACAGCCTGGCTCAGTGGGGATAGCCCTGGCTCAGGGGGGATAGCCTGGCTCAGAGGGCACAGCCTGGCTCAGGGGGCACAGCCTGGCTCAGGGGGCACAGCCTGGCTCAGGGGGCACAGCCTGGCTCAGGGGCACAGCCTGGATCAGGGGGCACAGCCTGGCTCAGGGAGGATAGCCCTGGCTCAGGGGCACAGCCTGGCTCAGGGGGGATAGCCCTGGCTCAGGGGGCGCATCCTTGCTCATCTGGGCACAGCCTGGCTCAGGGGGCACAGCCTGGCTCAGGTGGGCACAGCCTGGCTCAGGGGGCACAGCCTGGCTCAGGTGGGACAGCCTGGCTCAGGGGGCACAGCCTGGCTCAGGGGGGACAGCCTGGCTCAGGGGGGACAGCCTGGCTCAGGGGGCACAGCCTGGCTCAGAGGGCACAGCCTGGCTCAGAGGGCACAGCCTGGCTCAGAGGGCACAGCCTGGCTCAGGGGGGACAGCCTGGATCAGGGGCACAGCCTGGCTCAGGGGGCACAGCCTGGCTCAGCACTCCCAGGACATCCCCACGTGTCCCTGTGTCACGCTGTGGCCGGGCTGTGTGTTCTGTCCCCTCTGTCACAGCTGGGGCAGGAATCTGCTGTTCACTGGGCTGGTTTCTCTCCCACAGCCAATCCTCCCTCCAGATCTGTTATTCCTACTCCCCCATACTGAGAGCCCCTTAATTTCAAAATTATAATAATTTGGAGGGAGCGGAACTATAACAATGATATAGTAGTAGTAGTAGTAATAATAATAATAATAATAATAATAATAATAATAATAATAATAATAATAATATACATTACATATATGTAATAATAATAGTAATAATAATAGTAATAATAATAGTAATGATAATAATAATAATAATAACAATAATAATAATAATAATAATTCAGCAAGTACAATTACTCTGGAACTCCTGCCTCCCCCAGCAGCCCCCAGACTCACCCCCCAGGCAGAGGCAGTGAGGGAACTGGATGGAGAGCAGCGCGCCGGGCTCGGAGCAGCGCACGTCGAACAGGGGCCCGCCCACGATCCAGGGCTTCTCCACCAGCGCGGCGTACTTGCTCCAGGAGAGCAGGGAGTAGGTGATCCCGGCGGCCGCCGTCACCTCGAAAATCAGCCCGGTGCTGCTGCAGCGGTACGAGCCCTCCGCGTCCAGCCGCGCCCTGCGGGAGACGCCGCGCTCGGCCAGGGCCGCCAGGGACTCCCTCCCGCCCCGCTCCCCCAAAAGCCCTGCCAAAAAAACAGCCGAGGGCTCACCCAGCCCATGCACAGCAGCTGCACAGGAGAGTTTTGCATAAAACTTCCTCAGCCAGGAGGTGCTCTGGCGTGAAGGGTGCCATGTGCAGCCTTTCCTGTGGATAACACCCACACCCAGCAGATGTGTCCTGCATGGATGTGCCGCAGGGACCGGCCCAGGGCAGGCACGGGGAGGACAGTGCTGCTGCAGGGAAAACGCAGGGATGAAGGGGAGGGTGAAGCAGGGCAGGATGCCGCAGGTGCAGCCAGGCTGAAACAAGCACACAAAAATGGGCCTGCTGGTCATTGCTGCAGCAGGACGAGGCAGCGCCCTGAAAACCCTCCCAGGAGTTGTCCTGGACCAGGATCTGGAGGCAGCACAGGCTCTAAACTGTGATTTTTAAGGATTTGGGTGCACCTCCCAGCATAAATCCAAATGCATTTGTGCAGCAAATGAGCTGTTTGCCAGACCAAAAGCACCTTGATGAGAACAACGTAAACTCAAACCCATTGCATTAAAAAAAATCATACATGAATTGTCCTCCAGCAAGTCTCCTGGGGGTCACTTGCTCCGTCTGGTCCTGGAAATAGATTTAAAAGAAAATTATCTTTTAAAAGGTGAGGAGAGAGCAGAACTACAGTTTGCAAATGATCTCATGCAAAGTAAGTGGGTGTTTTTTTCCCCACAAACTTACATTTTCATTCCTGCAGTGCTCACAGGGTAGCAAGCAGCTCTCTCCTAGTGGGAAAAGAGGAAGATGAGCTCATGGAAAGCCAAGTAATTAAACAGCCAGGAATAAAAAAAAAAACAAGCCCTCAGGAGATCTGTAGATCTGTTCCTACCTGACTCATTGCAGTAAGGTGGGGATTCCTTCTCCTCCTGTTCTTCATCTAGAGAAAAGGAGTTTGGAGTAAATATCTCAATGTCCAGGGGGGTTTCTGTTCCCACATCCACCCAGGACAACCCCACTATTCCATCTGCCTAAATTCACCAAATCCTAAGAAGAACATTCCTGAGAGTCCTTGCAGGCTTTGCACAGCCTGGGGGTGAAGCTGAACATCAGGATACAAATTTGCCAAAAGCTCCTAAATTGCCCAAACTCCTGGGAAATTTCACAGGGATAAAAAAAGATTCATCTTGGGACGAGCCTTGTGGTGCCAAGGACAAAGTTCAGCCCCCGGCATGGAAACTGGGAACAGCTTTCCCAAGAAACCACCACAGAGTCTGCAGGGTGTTTGTCCCCAGAATGATCTGACAGCGCCTGGATTCTCCTGGCTGAACCCAGCAGGATGGAATTCCAGCAGAGCTGAGACCTCAGGCCAAAGGCTGTGTCCTGAGGGGTGGATTTGGGAGCAGGGGAGTGGCAGAGCTGCCAGGATCAGCTGCTTCCCCATCCCGGCTCCCTCCCAGGACAAAGGGATCCTGGAGGCTGTCCCGGGCTGTCCTGAACCCCCTGGGCTGGGAGAGGCAGGAAGGTAGCAGCCAGCCCTGGCTGTGTGCCCCAGCCCCCAGCTCTGCAGGGCTGGGACAGCACAGGAACACTCCCTGCTCTGGGAGCTCTGGTCTCCACCCCTCATTTCCTAGGGATGCTCTCCAGCAGCTCCTTTTCCCCAAAGAGATGGAGCTGCTGGCCGGGCCAGCCTGGAATCCTTCCTGCCATCCCACATCCCCCTCGGGCACTGCTCATCAGCTGCCTTCCTCCTGCTGAGCAGGGGAAAACAGCAAACCACACTCAGCCAGCCTTCCTCCATCCCACCCCTCTGCATCTGCCCAGAAAATAACACTGGGATTGTTAAATTATCAGTGTTACATAAAACCAGCATAACTGCTGGCAGCAAATCCCATGGAAGCCCAAACCCACCAACAGCAAACACTTCCTTTGATTATTTTCCTGTCCATCCTGTTTGGCCAGATCTGTTGCCAACTTTTGAGGAAATTTATGGCCTCTTGGTGTTTGGGTAAATGCTGTGGTGTAAAAATATCCGTGGGTATTGTGTCTGGGGTGCTGTGTCTGCGAGGTGAAAGCAGCACAAGCTGCTGCCCTTTAACATGGATAGGAAATCACTGGATCCCCAAAAATTACTGGGAAAGCAATCAGAGCTAGCATTCCCTAATAACTGTGAAATTCTACCCAGGAGAAGCAGCTGGTTTAGACTGAACATCAGTTTTTAAAAAGCAAACAGAAAAATAAATCATAATGCTCTGCTCACCCGACTCCTCTTCCAAGCTGCTGCCCTTTGACCACTGACAGAAAATCACTGGCTCCCAAAAAATTTACTGGGAAAGCAATCAGAGCTAGCATTCCCTAATAACTGTGAGACTATACCCAGGAGAGGCAGCTGACATCAGTTTTAAAAAAGGGATTACAGGTAAATAAATCACGATGTCCTGCTCACCTGACTCCTCTTCTGAGCTGCTGCTGGAGCTGTCTTCAGAACTGGCTTCTCCTTAAAAACAGGCACAGGTGGAATGTGAGCCCAGGACCCACCCCGAGGTTGGGATCCACCAGGCCAGGCAGCAGGTTAGATAATGGAGCAGAAAAAAAAAGAACTACTGAGGCAGAGAAAAACGCCAGAGCATCAAATCCAGCACCCGGGGAGACTTTGGGGTCACCAGGCCCTTCTGAGGGGCGCTCAGAAAATCGAATTCTCATGTTTTAGACAAGCTGGGATAATTTTGGAGCTCCACCCATGGCACATCCCAGTCAGATTAAGGTTTTCCAAAGGGAGCAGCCTTGGGGGGAGCTGTTGTGACTCGTGTGGAGGCACCAATCAATTAATTACTCTTACAAACATCATTTGAAGAGAAACCAGCACCGGAAAGCCAGGGATGTGTTTTGGGGTGTGGCTGGGGGGAAATCTGGGATGCAGGAGCAGGCACACCACCCCAGGAGTGAGGAAATCCCTGAGCCATGCTGGGCTCACCCTCAGGGTGCTCCTCGGTGGATCCCGATGATCCCTCCAGGCCATTGGGTGTCACCTCTGCAAGGGAAAGGCAGGGAGCAAAAGCTGGAGAGGGATTTAACTCTGCTCTTGCCAATTCTGTACTCAGAGAAAGGGAATAAATAACAAAAAACAGGCATTTTGAAAAACAGCATAACAACCAAAGGAATCCATAAACAAAGGGTTTACACCAAGGTTCTAAAGCCAGTTTCAGAATTCCCATTCCCAAGGATGGGCATTTCCCAAAATCCCTGTACATTTTCAACTGGTTATAAAGCCAGTTTCAGAATCTCCATTCCCAAGGATGGACATTTCCCAAAATCCCTGTACATTTTCAAGTCGTTTTCAAAGCCAGTTTTAGAATTCTCATTCCCAAGGATGGACATTTCCCAAAATCCCTGTACCTTTTCAACTGGTTATAAAGCCCATTATAGAATTTCCATTCCCATTCCCAAGGATGGGCACTTCCCAAAATCCCTGTACCTTTTCAACTGGTTATTACAGCCAGTTTCAGAATTCCCATTCCAAAAGATGGGCACTTCCCAAAATCACTGTACTTTTTCAATTGTTTTTTAAAGCCAGTTTTAAAATTCCCATTCCCATTCCCAAAGATGGGCGCTTCCCAAAATCCCTGTACTTTTTCAGCTGGTTTGTAAAGCCAGTTTCAGAATTCCCACTCCCATTCCCGATTTTCCCAAAACCCCCTGTACCTTTTTCGTCCGAGGAGAGGGACTCTGCCCCGCTGGAAGACAAAAGCAGGCACACATGAGAACTCTGCCAGCCCTTTCCCACACTCCCACAGGGGCAGCATTCCCAGCTCCCTGCCCTGGCACCGCTCCCAGACCTGGGAATCCGGGAGCTGCCTTGGCATGGGGGCTGGGGATTCACCGTTCCCCTCCTGCAGCGCCAGCCCTGCCCTGGCTCCCTGCTGGCCACAATTCCCACTGGCACCAGCTCCCGCTTCCAGCCCCTTCTGCCAAGCACCAGGAGCCCGTGCCAGGCGCCCGTTGGATTTGGGAGCAATCCAACCAATCTCCAGGCGGGCAGGAGACTCAGATAAACCCTGCTCTCCACAGCAGCCTCCATCCACCCCTGGAAAGGGGAAACCTGCAGTGTGCATCATCCACGGATTCAAATCCTGCTTGGAAAGCTTTTCCAGGAGCTCCACGACATCTGCCAGGCAGAGCCAGCACAGGAAAGCTGCCCTGAGGAAGGGAATGGCCCTGGGTGCAGGCACCATAAAGCAGCAGGTGACATCCAGCTCTGCTGCACTGTGGTGGCACCAGGAATTATCCCAGAGCCTCCGCCCTGCCAGGGGCAGCTGGAGGAGCAGGCAGGGAAGGAGCATCCAGCCCTTTTTTTATGGAGGTGGGAAGGTCACAGTGCAATCCCAGAGATGCTGGGGACACCGAAGCTGAGATGTGGGAGCTGCTCAGCTCTGGGGGCTGATTTTGGCCACCCCGGGAGCTCCTGGAGCACACCTGGGATGAGGGGGCATCACCAGGGGGCCACACTCGGCCCAGAATTATAAAAGGAATAAATAGATGGGAAGGGCAGAGGCAGGAAAAGCAATGAGTGAGGATTCCTGAGGAGCTGAGGGAAGCGATGCCAGCTGGGCGGTGCTGGCAAAGCACGGCAAAGGGGCTGCAAAACCTTCTGGGTCAAGGGCAGGAAGAAGTGGGAAAGCTTTTCCCCCACAAGACATTACACAATAGTTTGCTCTTCCAAACTTATCTCGAAAAAAAAAAAAAAAAAAAAAAAAGAAAGAAAGAAAGAAACAAAAAAAAAAGCAAATTTATTTTGTATAAGGATTTGGATGAAGGCTGGATGCTCTCCAGGGCCGGCAGCCGAGCCAGGCAGTGTTTGTGCAACCCTTCAACCCTTGCACCAAGTGCTGGCTTGCTGATCCGGGATCGCTTCCCTCGCACCCCTCCAGCTGCATTTCCCTCCTCCCGCGCTGGCAAGCGGCGCACAACCGGGCCGGGGAGGCGGCCCCAAATAAAGACCCAGCTCGGCAGCCGGGCGCTAATAACTGTAACCATTAATTGCGGCCGGCCCCGAGCGCGATAAAGGACGGCGAGATAAACACGAGCCCGGCTCGGGCTCAGGGCAGCACCGGGAGCACCGGGGGGAGCACCGGGGGCAGCCGGGGCGGAGCGGGAGCCGCGCTTTGTCTGCGGCGGCAGCGCGGCCCGCAGCCCCCGCCGCAGGTGCGGGGCCGGGCCGGGGCACCCGGAGCCACCGGGAGGGGTTCGGGCACGGCGGGGACACCCCCCGGGCTCGGTGCACGGGAACGGGGGCACCGGGAGGGGATGGAGGATGCAGGAGGATGATGCAGGTGGGGTGGGGGATGGGAGGATGCGCACCCAAGGGACACGGCGGGGGACACGGGGGGGACACGGGGGGGACACGGAGGGGACACGGGGACACGGAGGGGGACACGGGGGGCGCGGGCAGCCCCGCTCACCTGTCGGGCTCCGGCGGCGGGCCGGACATCGCAGCGGCACCGAGCGGGAACGGCCGCGTC